GTACCTGCAGCAGGAGGACGTGTGTGATGATGCAGGAGGAGTGCAGGAGGCGGGCGCTGCTGCAGCACTGGTCGCTGAGGCTCAGCAGGCGCGGCACGGCGGTCTCCTCACCAGCAGCTGCTCACCACACAAGGCGCGTGTTATACCCACTGAAAATTAACAGACGCAGCAGCTTCTGATTTGGAGTACTGGTACCTACCAGAAGCTGGGGCAACTCTAAATTTTGTTAGGGTACCGCTTAGAAATACATTGGTTAAGGGCCCCAATTTAATGAATTAAAAAGTTCAATTTGAATAGTAAATTGCACTTTATTCAAGCATTAAAGTCACGACATTCATGAAATCGAGTCCATGAGTAAAGAAACGACCAAAATAAATCAGATTCACGATTTTAGTACATTAATTTGTCAGTTGATGGTAGAAAAAAGCTTATCAATTTGCAATTATTGAAGATTTGAAATTTAATGAAGTCATAGTTATACAAAGTTGCTCTCAGGGTTAGCGATTTTTTGATTTTTTTTAAAAAAATAAAAAAAATCAAAAATCAATGATTTTTTTTTATTTATTTGATTTTTTCATCTTTTTCGCCTTTTTGAGGTGTTATTTTTTATTTTGCAATTAGCCTACTAACAATAACAGTATATGGATCATAATTGATGGTTAAAAAAGGCACTTATTGCCTTCAATAATGGCCAATAGGCCAAGGTGGTGTTTACCACTTATAAGGGATTTTTGGGTAAACAACTATTGATAAGTCTTTTCATTAGCTTTGTAAAGTTTGTATGGAGCAAGGTAATGAGCTAAATATTGACCATTTAACTGGCTTCAATATACAAAAACACTTCAGGAATGCAGATCTCCTAGACATTGAAGAGTCACATAACAGATAGGTGACTGATAGCACAGTGCACAGCACTATCAATAGATCTACCAGTTTTATGTCCTATAAATCTACCAGACTCTACCCTCTATACACACTGACTAGTAGTGACTGAGTGACTGACTGCACTGTTCCCATTTAATTCAGACCAATAAACCAATACTAAACATAAACNAGACACTAACATGGGGTCATCTTATCGACCAATTTCTCTTCTAAGTCCAATAGCCAAAACACTGGAAAAAATTATCCTTGCCACAATCTCATCTCATCTCCCTAACATTGAACACCAACATGGCTTCAAACAACACCATTCTACCATCACAGCACTCCAACGTATCACAGAACACATAGCCACAGGTTTCAATCAAAAACGCCCGCCACTTCGAACAATAGCTGTAGCATTAGACATGAGCAAAGCATTTGATACGGTAAATCTGCTCACACTCATCAACAAACTTTCCACAACCGCAATAGAGCACACTACACTTAAATACATAGCAAATTACATCAAAGGCAGAAAAGGTTTCACAAAAGTCAACAATACCAATTCAAAACAGAAATTATTCAAAACAGGTGTACCACACGGCGGAGTCCTATCACCCACACTGTTCAACATATACGTTTCAGATATACCCTCACCTCCACCCAATATTAAAATAATTACATACGCAGACGATATAACTATCTTATCCTCCCACAAAGACTATAACACTGCTGCACAAGTCCTTCTTCCATACCGACAAACCATACACACATGGTCCACAGAAAACCAACTACAACTCAATGCAACAAAAAGCACTGCCACTCTTTTCACACCTGACCCGGCCGAATATAGCACACAATTCAACCTCAATATCAATAATACACTCATTCCAACAGTACGCAACCCTAAAATACTTGGACTTACCTTTGACCCAAAGCTCACCTTCAGCACTCACATTAGCAATACTCACGACAAAGCCAATAATACCATCAAAATAATCAAATAACTAACAGCCACACAATGGGGAAAACAAAAAGAACTACTCACAACCAAATTTCAAACAATCACGCGTCCAATCCTTGAATCGCAAACTCATCCTGGTCACCAATTATATCACCCACGCAAATGAACAAACTCCAAACAGTCCAGAATGCAGCACTCAGGATAGCCACAGGATGTACCGCAGACACCTACATCCACCACCTTCACCAAGAAACCAAACTCCTACCCCTAACACAACACCTCAAACTTCACGCCTCACAACTCAGACAGAAAGCACAAAACCCAACCCACCCACTACATAACCTCACCCTTCAGCCGCACCCACACCGTCTCATGAAACAAACCATTTTCCACAACACAGGTTTCACCACCAACCTAGATACTCTGCCTGCACAAGCTACACAGGACACAATCAAACAAAATCTCAAAACAATCCACACTACAATTACAGAAAACTATCTTGCAACCCTCCCTCACAACAAAATTTTAAACATGCCCGCACCACAGATTCACCCATCTGAAATCAACCTACCTAGACCTGCACGCCGGAACCTTGACCAACTTCGCACAAATAAATCACCGCTACTTCTCTCATATCTAAATAAAATAGACCCTGCCACACACCCTTCTCCACTTTGCCCACTCTGTCTGTCTAACACGCACGTCACCATTCATCTTTTCTCCTGCCCTGAAATGCCCACATCCCTGTCGGTGGGTGACCTTTGGTCGGACCCTGTAAACGCTGCAGGGCTGCTGGCCCGCTGGGGCGGCCGGCTTGGCTGGCCCCAGAACTGGGTCTAGGCCCCGCCTCGCGCTATGAAGCGAGGCGGGGAGGGTCAACAACAACAACAACTTAAGTTTGTAGTCCGCGGACACTCACAGTCGTCAGGCAGGAGGATACAGGATCGGATTTTTTGCCAGGCAGTCACGATGCGGTCGCTGGTGTGTTGTGCCAGCAAAGAAGAAACTCTGCTGCCAGCACAGAGTCTTGCTGCTTTTTCTGTCAGCGTTTTAGGACTGCACAGCTGATAAGTCACTGGGTCCCGAACCCTGTAGAGGGAAAATGATAATGCAGGCAATTGAAATGTGAGCACATATGAAATCAGCTATTTAAAGTTAAGTCTAACTGCTACCATAAATAAGATAGTGTTTAATTGATTTTGGCATTTAATTGATCTTAGATGGGAAGGCTATTATTATAAAAATCAAATTCGATCCATCAGATCCATTATTCAATAAACAATAGGCAAAAACAGAAAAATTTGGTATCAAGGCATTCTGAAAACAAAAACAATAATTGAAAATTAATCATATCTCACAATGATTATCAATATCGAAGCTTACTTTTCAGGTTTGTACTTGAGAGCATTGGCAACTTCAGAACAAGGTTTGTTATCACAGCAAGAACAGATATTATCAGAGGAGCTGTGTGTAGAATTATCAGCAAGCCGACCCATATTAGAACTCTTGCTGCAGTTCATTAAAGAGCTCAGTCCTGCATAAGAGTTGTGGCTGCTACTCTCAGAAGAGATGTGAGAATGAGTGCTGCTGTTGAATGTTTTACTGATGGCCATGGCTGTGAGAGGTGGAGTGTCGTCTGTGTTGCTGTTGTGATCAGAATTTGTGGTTGCCTCCTGGGACTTGAATGGAAGCTTCAATGAGCCTGTAAGCTCCGCTAGAGCATACAAGTCTTCTATCGGTTGCAAAACCTGGAAATAGAACACATTTCACTAATATAGAAATTTAATTTAGACAATAGATTATAAAATTATAGGTATAACATTTTTGGCCTGGTTTGAAATTAGAAAGTAAGCTCACATTTGGAGCATTTGTTGACCGTATGGCAGATAACATGTAGTGGGACAGAGCAGCTTGTTCCATGTATGCCAACCTGAAGCAAAAAAAAAAAAAAAAAAAAACTCACAGAACGAAAAACATACATATATATATATATATATACAAAAAATTGAAATTCATTCAAGAGAGAGGCTAAAAAAAGAGCATGTTAGAAATTTTGCATAGAGAGGTGGTTAAATAAATGAAAAAGAAGCAATTTTGATAATTACTAATATCAAAGCTTTCTTGATCTCAGCTAAAAATTAAACTATATATATGTAACCTACAAAATAGTGAATATTGAATGAAATTAAACCATCTAATTTCTCGCAATTCATACTTTATAGTTAATTATAATATCCTACATCAGTTCAGATACTCATCTATGAAGCCAAGAGCAGAAATAACCAAAAAGATCAAAGCTTGGAAACAAACCAGGTATCATCTGGCAAAGATCTATGGACTACTTAATTTGGTTCAGATTATGAAGTGAGAGAATACTTACATGAGAATACTTAACTCCACATGGAAAGACAACTGTTGGCTCCCTTTAGAGTCATTCAGTAACATTATAAAGAATATATAGTCTCTTGCATGGAACATCTCAATTATTGTTCCATAAAGTTATATCGTAATATTCTTATATGCTCTCATTATACAAAGATATTTTAATCTGCACAAGTTTTTGTGACACCAGGATCCATGTGTCTGTTCAATGAGGCAACATTGTCAACCCATTTAATTGCACTTGAACAGGATTGAATTAATGGCATCATTCTTACATTTTTTATATGGGTTTAAATTATTAGAATCCTTTTATAGACACTTTCATTGTACCCCAATGGATTGATACTTACAAATATAATTAAAAACTCATTTCAAAAATGATAAATATTTCAGAGAGCACCTTAGCCATTTAATGAAAATTTGAGAATAATTAGTGGAAATTATGCTAGTTTAGAGTTTAGAAACAAAAGTTTTTAATAAAATATGATATAAAATTCAGATGCATAAAGGTTTAATTTAGATTTTTTGACAAAGGATCATACCTAGCTTGAGGAATGAAAATATTCCAGAAATTAATTAAAAAAATAAGAATAAACAATTTTTTTCATGAGTTCATTAAGTTAACAAATAAATCATTGCAAACCTTGCATGTTTTAGAGCAGCAGTGGCATTGTTCAAATGTTGTTGGGTGGATGAGCGCACAGCAGTTGGCGTGAGGTGCTCAGTGAGGCTCTCCAGCAGTTGACCAAGCTGGGGGTTGTTGGTCACAGTCTCTACGCTGATGTGTATTGGCAGGCTTTGGCTCACTGAAAAATATATGCACATTGAAAAAGGACAGAAGTTACAGAACTTAATGGAGTGAGCATGGATAGTTTCAGCACTCAGCAGACATGTGAAACTTTGGCAAGCAGCATATAATTTAGTTGCCACTTGCTGGTAAATATTACTTAAATCTATATTATTCATACTTCTTAAGTTCTTATGCGTTATGCCCAAGCAGCCCAAGTAGGTACTTTTTAGGCCTCAGATAAAATTGTACTGCAAACAAAATTCTATTTAAATCTGCTACCTTTCCTGCAAAGTACAATCAACCTGAAAGTCAATTTTATATTAAAAAAAGATTGAGATAAGGTTAGGTAGGTAATTTTCTTTATATTCAAATTCCTTGAAATTTTTCAAGCAATTTAAGTACCGTAGGTAAATGAACTGATATGAACTTGTATTTCACCTAGAAAGTGGAAGGGCTTCAAAATTTAATTTGAAACAGTAAACTGATTGTATTTAATAATTTTGATTATGGTTCAACTTTAAACATGAAAGGAAATACCTACATTAGCCTAAAAAGCCTATTTAATGTAAAATTCAAAATCAACATCTTACCTATGCTTAGCTATTATAAGCTATAAAGCACTTGGGTTACATCCCTATCAAATATCAATCAATGACAACCTCAAAGTAAAAAGCTTGTGCAACCTAAAAGTCTTTGAGCATTGAGCAATGAATAATAGGTAATAATATTGATGTTCAAAACTTCAATTCTGCATGATAGGCAGAGACATTCAGACAATAAATAGGACCTTAATTAACAAATTTATTTATTGTTACTGATGAGTGATGACCTAGTAGCATGATAACTACAATGAAGGAGTGACTTTGAAATATCTGTTGAATAGGTTTTAATGTCAATTTCATAAATTTTTATGATGGATTTGAATTACGGAGCAGGCAATAAGTCCAGCAGCTATCTCAATCAATCGTCAGTTATGGAAAGATTGGGTTCCAAAGGCCAGATCCCTTGTGAATCAAGTCACGAAAAGTTCAAGAATCGGCAACAGGCCATGGACCTAGTATTTCTTCAACGCCGACACTTCTATTCTAATAAACTTACATAATGAAGACAAAGCATCTGGCGATAAAACAGGAGAATCAGCCCGCATGGCTAAATATGATATACAAACTAGTAATGAATATGGATAATTTATTATATAAATGCCGAATACATGATTGACTGGTCTATTTATTCCATTTCCAGTTGATTTTGTCTAGTACAGCCAGGAACTTTGTAAACACAAAACAAAAATTCAGAATTTTAAATCGACAACGGACATTAAATTCATCCGCCGTTACGGAAAACTAAAGCTGAGATCATTGGAACTGTTGCTTGATAAATTTATTAGGACGCAGGCCTGTCGCCAATTCTTAACATCGCAGAACGTTCACAGCATTTTCCGGTCTCGAACGCGCAACTCACTGCTTCAATTTTGCTTTGCTTAACCGCCCGGTCTCCTTGCCGATTATGACTAGAAACTGTGGCACAGAGCTGGGATCGAACCCGCGCCTCTTTGCTCCAATCTTGGTACTCTGAAATTCCCCACTGGGCACCCTGCCTTAGGAGTTGCTATGTGCAACCCCTGATCTGACTGAGACGGTCAGGTTATGCAATTACGAACGTCACTGTTGGCATGATTCCGGAAGTCATATATGACCGAAAACAGCAATCGGGACCCACAGCGACACCTAACTCACAGGTGCAACGCAACTTCCCATTTGAAATGAGTATTTAGTGGCTACCAGACAATAAGAAGCCATTACTTAGTGCTTAGTCAGCCGTTAATTGCTGTAATCTGTCCAAAAATGGACTACACGTCAGGTTTTTTTCCTAATTCCAACACACATGCAAAAGCTTGAAAGAGTTTAGTACCTATTACATGCAGCACAAGCCATATGCGGGACACGTACAACATGGCTAGAATGGCATTCTTAGTGCCTTTCTATCATGTCTGGGACAATTTTACGGCCGTACTCACGGCCAGTCTCTAAATTCAGCGATCAACGAAATGAACGAATATCTCCCAAACTGATGAACGCAGCTCGATGAAACTTTGCAAACGTATTCATTAGGACATAGCGGTGATGTTTAGCTTCTGAATTTTTTTTAATTCCGTTTTCATTCGTGAGTTATATGGCGATACGGGCTGAAATTCACAGTGATCAAGAAATTTCTTCCAAACTACCAGCAGAACAGATTTAAACGAAATTTTGAATATAAATTCCTGACTACCAAACGGTGATGTTTTACTTGTGAAAATTTCGATGTTTTACTCGTGCAAACGAATTTTACTCGTGAAAACGAGAGGTGTTTTACTAGTAATAATTTTTTGATTCTGCCTTCGCTCGCAAGTTTTTTTCCATTTCACTGTCATTTGTAATTAATTCAGTTCATGCGAGAACCAAAAATTCAAAGCTGTCACAACGTTACAGATTCTTTTATTTTTGTTAAAGTTAAAGATGAGTAGCAGTATTTTTAAGGGTGGCGGATTTCACTGCAGTGAGAATCGTGTGTCATTGAATGTAATCCTCTCCAGCTTTAAATCATTTTCATTGCCGATAAGCCGCTAATGTTGATAGATTTAGTATACATGTTGTTAATCAGAACAAATTTATATTTAAAGGTTCAGTACACTCAGTAGTTTCTTAAGAACTGCAGCATCTCTTAATATTCCAGAAAAAGCATTATAATTTTGATATCCGCTTGAGAGAATTTTCAATTCATACCTCAAAGCAGACCACTCTTGCCACAATTTAGATATAAACGGTGCTGCGAAATCCCGGCTAACGGCCTCCTTCTCGCCTAATTGCGGCTGAGTCTTTTACATCGTGAGTCGTGCAAAGCTCCGCCAATACCTACCATGACACTTCTTCGTACTGGCTTCATCCTGTGATGCTCATGATTCGATAATACTAGTTTTTAGAAGTAATTTAAATTAATCTATTTAAATCGTAAATTTACTGGACTCTAAATGAAAAGGAAAAGCCTTGTGAATTCGTTATATCCTCCATGAAAACGTTTTCATTGAGGATGTGGTGAATTTACTTGAAGTTTTCTTTGCTTCTTGATTTTTATTCATTAAAAGTATTATCACTCCAGGCTTCTAGGCTTATCTCAAAAGAGAAAATGTATTTTTAAAATTCATTTTACATCAATTCTGATGACTGATTGATGTATCATCAATTCTGATACATAAATTTTGAAGACAGTAAATTAGTGTATCATCACAGTTTGCATCAACAGCTTGAATCGCAGGATACCGATCATTTACCCACAATGATGTTACCTTGAATCTCAGCATCACAATTTGTTTGAGCACTGTCCCCCAATCGAAACCTTATCGAGCGCTTCCAATCTTTTTTATCACCGTCTGTAAAATTTGGAAACTATTCGTTATACTTAACCCGGGACTTAACCTATAGCGAGTGTCACTTTATTTGGAAGATATTTATTTGGAATATATGAGTGATTTAAATATTCGAAATACTTACAGAACCTTGGTGCTCATCTTTATTGATCAATACAAAACTATATAAGGCTATAAGGTACTCTATACGTTTAATTACACACTTCTTGAAACTGTGCAAAGGGTATATCGCAAGCAATGTAATCACAATGAATATTCTTCATATCGATGAAAGGTAACTCAAATAGGATTAACAGATTTGAATTCGTTGTTATAGCATGTTTTGGTTAGTATTTGAGATAGTTACGGGATAACTAAATTGAACTACAGTTATTATGTACTCCACTGGTGTGAAAACCCAATCAGCAGGATTCTGATTCTTTTTCGTATCAATATCATCAAAAATGAACAAATTTTTCTTATCTGGATCTATGTCACTTGGGCCAGGGACAGAAGGAGTATTCTCAAAGTATTCGATTGCACATTCTTGTTGGCGTCTTTTAGGTAAGTTTTCACGATACCCATCAATAAAGACGACCTCAGTACAGTAGCATAAATTAATAGTTACTTATTGACTCAGGACAGGAGCATAAATTTATTGGCCAATTTCTTATTCAATCTTTCTATCCCTGTAGAATTTACGCGCAGCAGGATGTCAAATGCTTTAACGATTGACTATTTATTTAACATTATAATATAGTAATAATAACAATAATAATAATAATAATAATAATAATAATAATAATAATAATAATCTGCTGTGCTTAACCGCCCGGCCTCCTCGCCGATTCTGACCAGAATCTGGCGCACAGAGCTGGGATCGAACCCGCGCCTCTCTGCGCCAATCTTGGTACTCTGAACTTTAACCACTAGGCCACCCTGCCTTTTATCACAAACGGTTACTTGAAAAAATTGACTTACAAAACATACAAATTAACAAACGCAAACTTTACATAAAAATAGAATGTTGATACAATCGTGTATAACTCGCTAATATTTTAACAAAAAATATTCGAAGATGTAATGTTAACTATCCAAGATAAATAAATAGCTCCCTTACCAAACAGTGAGGGCACCTTGCACGGTGCACCAGTGGCCAGCCATTAATAGCGACACAAGTTTGGATCCAAGTGGCCAATAGTGGCAAAAGTTTAGAGTACCAAGATTGGACCAGAGAGGCCCGGGTTCGATCCCAGCTCTGTGCGCCAGTTTCTGGTCAGAATCAGCGAGGAGGCCGGGCAAATTTGAAGCAGTGAGTAGCAAGTTCGAGACCGCAACAAGCTGTGGATATTCTATGATATTAAAAATCGGTGACAGGCCTACGGCCTAATAAACGCTGAAATCGCTATATTAAATATTATATTAAGTAGACCTAGCTAGCCTACTTCTTTATAAGAAATTTTCAAGTAATTGGTACTGAAGACGACATGAAAATCTGCGGTTGCAATCAATATCGCCATTGCCACGAGAAAATAAATAAATGATTCCAGATTTAGTACATCCCTTATCGAAAGCATTTATCAACAACTTATATTCAGGCTGATAAATTGACTTGCCATAAATTAAAAGATTGTTAAAATCAATAAAGTTCTCCAATAACAAACCCAGTAACAATGACGTTTTTCCGCAGTTCGATCTCCCAATTATGAGACACCTTAAACTCGGAGAAGAATTACAAAATGGTTCATCTATTTATATTTTATCGACTTTCCACTGCTAGAACATTTCATTAAATATATCGTGCCCTCTACAAGCTCTATCCAATGAATTAACTCAGCTATAACCATCATTCAGTCTTTTTTTGCACCTTAATGCCAGGACCACAGAAGGAGTAGGTATGCTTATCATTGCACGATTGAAAGCCATTTAATTACCTTCATTCAATTCATTGCAAGCCATTTAAGCTGCTTATGCAAGCTGTGATGATACACTCACTATCTGAAATATTTACAGGAATACATTTAACACGTTGACTCCGAAGTGGTACATATGCGTACCACGAAATGTATTTCTCCATGACGTAGCGGTACATAATTTGTAATACTAAAAATAAATAAAATAATGCTGCAAGATGAAGCAATCGGAGTAAACGTGTTAAAATTAGGGGCATGATTTGAGATTATGGAGAGACGCAGATGGGCTTCCGGAACCAAACTGCGAAATTTCTGTAAAAAAAACTTATGAAATTTCTTTGGACTGTGTCCAATATTTATTTCAGTTGCCCTTGACTCTGAATAAGTGAATGGCTTTGAATGGAGTTGGGTAATAGTGGAGCGCGTAAAGGTCAAGGTCCTTCAAACCCGAAATATTTAAAAACTTCAGTCAAAACAAGCCGAATGGTAAGAAATATGATAACAATTATGTATAAATAACACGCGCCCAGAAAAGAAAAAGATATTCGAGCTCATCTTAAGTCGCTCGGGCGCTGCCGTAAATAAAGCAGTCGGTGTCAGCGCTTCATTATAGGACATGAATTAGGATCTTCTACTCAGAAAAATATCCAGGTCATACTGTCCAAATAGTGAAACACTTTCAGGGCCTATACATTCAAAAAAAATTAAGAGATCTTAAGTTCATCCGCCAATCATTGACGGCCTTTCAAGCCAAATATACCAATCATAGACAAGAAAATAGAGCGTAAGTACTTACGTTCACTTAGCCAGTTTTGAAAGTATGGCCCCTGTTCTGTTCGGGACAAACAGGATCAGGATGACCCACCGGATGGCAAAGAGTATATCGTTATTTATTATTAACGATATTAACGATATACAAAGAGTATATCGTTATTTGGACAAAGTCACACAACTTTCGCTGAGTGTCAGCTGGGCGCGACCACTTAGCCCTGTAATTTATAAACTCGG